GTACACTAAAAGCCCCAACTTAAACATTATACAAGGTATCCATGTAACAAAAACATGTGAAATATACATTGAAAAACATGCACCAAAATTTTAAAAACATAAAAATAATGTTAAATTTTTTTTTAAGAAAACATACTGACCTCTAATTGTAAGTATATGACAAGTGGCATATTTTTACTCTGACTTTATCAATCTGTTTTCAAGGTATAGGTCACTTTACAAAGAATGTCATCGTGTATTTTAACACTAATTTCAAAGTATGTTCTCATCCCAGGCCCACACAGATTAACCTTATAAAAGTTTAACTTTGATTCATGAGCTCCTTTATAGAGGGCTCAAATCTTCTACCAGGGCAAGTCAAGCCAAACAAAATAACCATCTTTCCAGTGTACATCAACTTAAAGAATTTACCTTTCACATGAAATAACAACCAGAAATAAACTTGTATTTTATCCAGCTTTTCAATTTAATGATAAGCTCTAGAGCTAATTAATTTAATAGACTACAAGATGCCAATTTTCTTTATTTACCTTTTTTGTCTTGATAAACATTAGTGTGCTTGAATGGACACCTCTATTTTCCTTGGAGTTTTAAAGCTTCCTTTCATGTGTGTGAAAAATGGCTAAATATGTCAGGGTTTATCAAACAGAGCCTTGCTTTTTGGCTGGTCCCTTTCGCCTTATCTAGCAAACACATTACCCTCTCCATCAAAATGTGGCAGAGCAAACACTGCATTGGGCCCGCACACATACCCAGAGCTACCTTTAAACAGCTTCTAGACTCTTTAAACTCAGCTAGAAAGCTGATTAGGTCCCAGATCTTTGGGCATTATCTTATTTTTGATAACTGTGCTATGAAAAAACAATAAAGAAAAGCTGTCTAATAGGAAGGCGAGTTAAAGTGTCTGCTTACTTAAGAGCTGTACTTAAAAGGAAGAAAAAGAAAAGAACTGTGCAAACTAATTTAACTATTTGCTAAATCTCAAAGGGAGCAATGTTTTAAACAAAAAGAAATTATATGTGAGTTATAAAGGAGATTCATGATATTTTCTTAAATCTCAGCATTCACATACAGGGAATGACAGATCACCTGGTGTATTTTCCTTTTTGAGGATATTCTAATATCTTTGTTTAACGCCCTTTAGGCAACTCTGAAAAAATTATTAGTCCAAATAGAAGAAAGTCATAAATTAATTCAGGCCTATGGAAGACACAACTGTGAAAGGCACAATGGGAAGTTATGTATATTCCACTAACAATACCTTTACCCTCATTTAAAGGGGTGAATTAATTAAGTAAAAAATAAGAAAATGTGTAATAGTGAAGATGAGTTTAAATACCTAACATTTTTATATTAAATAAAGCAATGGCACATGATATAATAGTTAGGAGGCATCTAAACCTCACACAAATTCCAGCTTCTCAGAACTTCATGTATTTTTGGCATGCGTACAAAGTGGAAACAGACTGCTTTACAACACTGAACATGTTGAAAAGGAAAGATGTGAGTAGGATGTGGAACGCTGATTTAAAGAGAGGAGGGGTGTGGTTCAAAGTGGCAAGGTTAACGTGAACACGTGTCAGAAAACACCAGCTCCTGCCCAGACTTGTTTGCATGAGTTAGTTGGGGGAGTGACTTAAAATGAAAACTATTCATACCTAAGGTTCTGTGATCTAATTGTAACAAAATCAAGTCATATTCTGTATCCATGTAGGGGTGACCTGGAGGGACAGGAAGGTGCTTTTAGCTGCCTTTCAAACACTCTGGTTTCACTTCAGCTCTGATCTCAAGTTACTATCTAAAGTGGCAATAGAGCAGCTCAAAAACAGAAAGAAAGACACTCCATAGTAGAGGTAATGCTGATACCATTCTCAGTTGAAATTGGTTTTGTCTTAATTTCAAAAGTCAACATGTGGGGGGAAAAAAATCAAACACTGAATGATTTTATTTTTTCATTCCATTCATTTTCACATCAAGATCTTAGTTTTTAAATCAACATTCTAGCATATTAGCAGAACATATCTCTTTCTGGTAGAAATAAGTTTAAACTTACACAATCTAATAAAAGACAGTAGTACCTGGCACACACAAAAAAAAATGCATATCACAAAACCCAAAATATGCTACGAAGGACTTAGGTACTTAGTATGAGACAAAAATGAGGAAGGAGCATGCTGGCATTCTTACCAAATAAAATGTCTGTAAACAGCTGTCACGTCTATGTTTGCCTTTTAGAAGTTCTTGGTAGTGTCTTCCTGTGATTGGTGTACAGGCATTTCGATGGCGGTCCCACAATTCCTTGGAGCTCCATTTTAGCTTAGTATTTACATAGAGACTATTTAGTGTATATGGAAGAGTTTTGTATTTCTGAAGCCCCTGCACAGTGCAGATTTAAGCAAATCTGCACATTTGCAGGTTTTTGAGCAAAGTCTTAATAGTATCACTTCAAATTTAGAGTTTACGTTTTGGAGTCTGGTCACAACATTCTAGGTGACCAGAACAAAAATGTCGTTGTCAATAACAGTATTAATAAGACATTAATGCATATACCATGGGCTATAAATAATAGCTGACGCACACCTAGAAATTGTTACATGGTTGGCATGCTTTACAAGCTTAACAGGAGTTAACTCACTTAATCCCTAGAGCAACCCCTGCAATAGGTTCCATAATTATGTCACTAGATGAGGAGACTGAAAGACAGAGAAATTAAGTAACTTGCCCAGAGCCACACAGCTAGGAAGAGGCCAAACTTCAAAGAAGTTCATTTGTATGTGTATGTACATGTGAGCATGCATTAAATATGGTCAAAGTGTCCCCTTGAAAATAAATGGGACCTCGTTCAATTTATTTGACACCCCAGGAGACAGTAAGTGAAATTATTTTCTTCATTATTGCAGTCATGTACATAGTAGTCTATTAAAGAAACCTGTTAGTGGATAACTTTAAAAGATTTATTTTCAATGCAAACCAATGATTTCTAAAACATTTTGGAAAATGATTACAAATCGATTCACATAGTATCTCAAAATATCTTTAACTTATGTAATGAAAATGTATAGATTTTGTTAATCAGAAATTGGCTTTTCTTTCACCTTGTTTGGTCTGCCTTAGTGCCCTTGCATGCCATTGAGTCATGAGTAAATATTTCTCTGGCCAGCCTGCCCTTTCACTTTCTCTCTGGAGATTGTGTCTGTACTTACTTTTGACAATGGCTGTTTTCTCACCAGAAAGATGGATTTCCTGAAGTTTTGTTAATATTTTGGTTTTTGTCATTGAACATCATGCAAAAATAAAACAGCAACGTCTAGGGATAAAAAGAGTCGCTGAACATGGTATTATCCGCATAGAAGACATGCCATCAAGATCACCCAAACCTTCCTCAATAATGAGACAATAAGAGAAAGACTTCAGTGTCAACACAAATAAGAGACATTTGATAAAAGAAAATATTAACTGGAGTGGGAAGTGTGTATCACATTTGGTTAATGTTTTTATCACCATTTTAAAGTACACAATCAAGCCAAAAGATACAATTTTGTGAATAATATTTAAGAATGAGGAAGAAAGTTTTAATAATTAATGTTGTCATCCTCTGCCACCACTGGTTATATAAGAAACTTTTTTCCCCAGTATAAACCTAAGAGCTGAAGGGTGGAAAAAATCTGCTTTAGGTGTGTTGACTTATTTGGGGGGCAATCATATACTTAACATCTTTTTTTAAATGCTATAAATGCCTACCCTTCAGTGCAGCATTATATACACATGCAATTAACCACCTTGGTAATGACCTTCCCATCTGACCTAGAATGAAAAAAAAAATAAAACTCTAATGGGCAAAGAGACACATACCAGTGCTAAGATTGCCTTTTCAGGCTTCAAGAGTCTCTAAAAGCCAAATGTAAAAACACCAAGCATAATCAACAACATCTCTGTCACTGGAAATTAATACAGGTTTGAAACTTCGCTTTTGCACACATACAAAAAAAAAATGCTAGCCAGAATAATAGTCATCTAAGCAGGTACACAGAAAAAATGTGTCCCATTTTATCATAGTAAAAAATTGATTTAATAAATACACATTAGTACATAAACTGTGTGCTCTGTTGATATTAGCAAAAAAATGTAAAATGTCAAGGAGGCTCCTATCTTTTAAAAATCTCATAGGAAGTAATTATTCATTGGTCCTGCACTAGGTAATGCTAGTTTCAAGTCACAAGTTTCAGAACCACTAGGAATGTGCCCAGATCATTGAGATTATTTATTTAAAAAGACACAAATATTATAAAACTTTATTCTGCATACTGAACAGCATCACCTGTTAAAATCTTTTCTCACCCATGGGGGTGAGGGTGAGTAGGGGGTAGTACAAATCTAGTTTGCTGCCAAAGGACTTTATGAACTAAATCCCAAAGCAACCTCAAAAAAATGTCTACGAAAAATGAACAATTTTGTCTGCCTTTCTACTGCCTCCATCCCCCAAACCTGCTGTGGAAAGAGAAAGTGGTAGAGAAGAAAAAAGCCCACACTAGACATTGTCCCCACCATCACCCTTCCCCTAAGCCAGCCACCAGTTAAGGAAATGTTAGTCCAACCACAGAGTTAAAATGAATAATCTTATCACACTTCAGGGAACTAGGGTAAATAAAGGTTTCGTGCCCCTGTAATTATTAATTATACAAACTGAACCATCTCCAGAGGCATTTAAAATATTTGGGGGTTGCAGGTGGAGAAAGGTTTCTTGGCAGTAGTTGTTCATTGAAATCTCTTACAGGATTTTTTTTTAACCTAGTCTGTGATGCAGAACCCGCTGTGCTAAATTATGAACCAAAGGCTTTGGGGTGGGAACAATCAATCAAAATACCTGGGGTAGTGTGTAATGTGCATGCTCTTGTCAGCATGAACAGGCTGCCCCTGAACACAGTCCCCCAGCAGGTTAAATAAATATGATACCATAGACAAACCGACAGGATCACACGGCTGCATCAATCAGCTGTTGATAAAATACAATCTTCCTTTAATACACGCTGAGAAAGTTATTTAACACTTACAAAACCTATATCCATTTCTTGTCCTTTTTTTTTTTTTTTTAAGTCTTCCAAAGTGTAACTCTTTTAAAGGGGCAAGGGGAAGAAGTTGCACGATTCGGGTGGGAAGGGGGGCTGATTTTATGACGCCAAAGAAACTGTGAGGCACAACTATTTAACCAGGAGTGTACAAATGACTGCAGAACTGGCCAGAGGGTCGGTGAGAATGCAAACCACACCTGAAGCATTTCAATGGATCTTGAAAACGTGGATACTTTGTTGAAACAATTCCTGCGGTGAAACCCCTGGTGCATTTCAATTCCGCTCTTATTTCAGTTCATTTCAGCTCTGCAGTTTTCGTGCCTCTGGAACAGATGAGAAAACTATTCTGGATTAATTGGGGGAAAAAAAATAACTGGGCAGGAAATAATATGAAAGGAGGGAGCCCCCAGTGAGCTTAAGAGAAAAGTGACCCCACAGAGCTGATGGGAAAAAAAAAAAAGAGAGAGATCTTCCATGACTTCGCCTCGGTGAAACTTGGGAACAGAGAAATAGGGAGACAAGTGCCCTGAGTTAGCAGCGAAGATGTGAGCGCCCGTGTGCTTCGTGGTTTAAGAAAAGCAACTCGCTATGATTAAGCAGTCCACTCTCCCCACTTGCAAAGAGGAAAAAATGTGAAAGAGGTTGGGACCAGGACCGTCCTGAGCGCCAGTCCAGGTTAGGCTCTTATTTAAGTCGATTTTGACTTCAACCTTCCGCTCGCGCCCGGCGAGTGCAGCGCTGTCCCCTCGCCCGGGTTTAACGGGTTTAACCCGGGGTTCCTCTCCTCCCTCGCGCGCGACACCGCGCGCCTTTGTCAGCACCGGGTGGGGAGTGGCCGGGCGCTGGGGGAGCGCATGGCACCTCGAGAGCCGCAAAGCCCCTGGAAAATACTGACAGCCTATCTATTAACAAGTGAAGATTAATGCCCCATCTAAAACTAAGCCCTCCTAAGTGCCTTCGGTACAACATAAATACTGGGAGTGAGGAGAGGCGTCGCCTGCCACTCAAGCGGTACCTATCTTTCCCAGCCCGTTGAAACGACTCGCCCCGGCAGCTGGAGGTGTTGACGGCCACGTTTGTCGGCGCGTCGTGCCTCCCCGGACCCTCCTCCGAGGCGACCGCAGCTCCGAACAGATCCAGGCTGCGGCCCCAGTTAGCGCTGCTCCTCCCAGGGGCTGCACACACCCTCCTCTCGGGGATGGGGGATCCAGGGCAGAGAGGCTGGGCTGGCAGTCCCCTGGGCCTAGGGCCTAAGAGTCCCACGTCACCGCAAACAGGCTCCCCCCGGCAGCCGGTGCCAAAGGGACCCACGTGGGGGCAGTTCGCGACCCCACACAGCGCGGGGACGGGGACGCGTGGCGGCATCTGGAGCCACATCCCAGCCTGGTCCACCGTCTACGCTGTCCCGGCCCGGGCGCCCGACCCAGCCCCACGCCCGATTCTGAGGCTGGTCCTGCGGGCAGGGGGCGGGGAGGGGGGAATCCGGCTGCCCTAATAGCGCTTTCAACCCCAGAAATTCGCTTGGGGTTCGTTAACACCGGCGCTGGGGGTGGGGGGAGTCTCCCCTCTCCCTCCGCCACTCCGGGGTACAAACCCCTCCTGCTACAGCGGCGGCCCAGGCTGCGGGGACTTGGGGAGGCGCTGGAACCCTAGTAACCTTTTTGGAGACTTTGCGTTTTCGAGAGCTCTTTACCTGAAACTGACACCCGCAAGCACTCTCCGGGGGCCTGTTGGGCAGATGGAGTGGCAGGGCCAGGCGGGGCCTGTCGGCGAGACACGGGGACATTTGTCATGAGTGACCCGGCGCCTCGGCTTCTGAGCCCACGCCGGCGCGGGGAGGCCCGCGCTAATGTAATAAAGCGAGAGCGACAAGAGGAAAGGCCTCTCTTGCCCCGGGGCCGCCACATGCTCACTCCGTTTTACTGTCAGTGCTGGTCGAGGCTGTGGCTTCATTTCATATTCCATTAATATTTACAGCAGCTATTGAATTTCCCATTACAAAGTTCACCATACACACTGCTAATATGAAATTTTAATAGTATTGTGCATATTATGAAAAGTCCCGCATTAGGAGGGGAGAAGGAGGGTCCCAGGGAGAAGTTGCCCGGGGAAGTTACCCACCACTGAACACTTGCAATATCCCCCTCCCCAAGCCGTTAAATATGCTCATTTGCAACTATTACCATAAAGACGCGAATCAGTAGGTATTTTATCAATATCGAAATCAAAAGTGAGGGGGGAAATAGAGTGGGTAAAAAGCTTGCTTGCTAAATTGAGTTTGTGAAGTTGTGTTTGATGTTTTGCCCTCATTTATAGATGTTCCTATTATTCCACTCTGCTAGCATCCTTTGGAGAGAGGAATGAGGAGCAAGCAGACGTTTCAGGTCGTGTTGGGGGTCTGGCTACAGCCAGTCCCAGGTGCATGCTCCTGGGGCTGAGGGGGCTGGCAGGCGAGTGGCAGTGGAAAAGCCCCTTCTCTCTTCCCAGCTTGTCTCCTTCCTCCCAGCCCTCCACCCACCTCCAGCCTGGGGCCCCAGAAGTTCTCAGAGCTGCAGACCCCAGGGGAACAAATTCTGCCAAGAACTGTGAAAATCACCTATTTCTCCTTCTGTGATGTTTAACTTTTCGGGATTGGCACCCTGAGGTCAGGTGATTTTCCTGGGAGAATGATTGTCCTCAGGAATGCGATTCCTTTTCCAGGTGATCCCAGCCAGAGGAACTAAGGAAAGTGGGAAGAGGGGGGAGGGCTTGGCCTGGGCACTTAGAAGTGTTAGTATACAAAGCCCAGCCCAGGCCACACTGAGTGTTGAGGTCGGGTTTCTCTCCTTGGCCCCTCAAGTTTTACACAGTGGAGCCACAAGGGCCGGTGTGTGGCGCATCCAGCTGGAAACACGCCTTCTGGCACAGAGAGGCAGCCAGGGGAGCATCCTCCTCTGCAAAAGCCTGCAGGCAGGAGTGCATGGGTGTGCTCACCTCCTGGTGGGGTCGGAAGTGGACCTGAAGCCCTTCTGCAGGAGGTGCCGGAGTGCCACCAACTTGTGGAGCTGTGTGGACCTTCCCACTTTCACTGTAAGAGCATTGAACTTCCCAGCTGGTTCCCACACCTCTGACTTTTTACACTTAAGCTCGCCCTAGAGTGGGTAGATGAAATAGAAGGCCAGGCATGCTCACTTTGTCTAGGGGGAGGGCTAGGATGTGTTGCAATTTCTCTAGTCTGCACCAAGCTTCCCTATCCCCTGCCCACTCACCCTCACACCATTCCCTCCTCGCACTCGCTGTAGGGTTGTAAATTAATGACAGTACTTTGAGCGCCTCTGTGGTATCTTAATAAGCTTCTATTTCCACAATGAGAGGACAATTTCTGAACCTTTAGATTACTTTTCAGCTGAAGGGAAATGACAGTGCCTGAAGGTAAAGATGGGTGACATTTCCACAGGAAGATCTGGTGTGTTTTTTGGGGGGTCTGAGGGGTTTAAAAAATATTACTATTATTATTATTATTATTCCCCCCATTTTCTTTGTGGTTTTCTTTTTTTTTTATGAAAGCCCCTAAATGTGTCATGCTTTGTCACATCCTCTGTGTGTGTTTTTAGAGAACATTTGAATAAAAGGCTCGATGCCAGGTATTGGTGACACAGGGGGTGGAATTTTCAGCCGTTCCACAAAGAGTTGGCCGCCTCTATTTGCATAAGGTCAGCGTAGTGCTTCTGATAGAACTTTACCAGCATCTCTGTCTCTTAGCAACACTCTTGCACTCTTGGTCCCTGCATTAAATTGACTGGTCCCTTCCTTTTCTTCCTTTCATTGGGAGGCTTACAATAAAATGTCACCCTTCCAACCTGTGCCTGTCACCCAGTAGGTCATCTGTATCTCCCCCTCCCCCTCTCCTCCTCCTCCCCTCCTCCCCCCCTTTCTCTCCAGCTCCAATTAGACGATGAGATTATTCATTTGGTGGATTCCCAAACTGTTTCATTTTACCGTGTTAATTAATATTAATACCATTTCTCCCTTTGTTATTAATAAAAAGCGCTCATAAACACAGACGAGATAAGGAGCAAATTGCCAGCACCTACCAAACAATAGGCCTGGAGAGGGGTAATAAGCCGAGTGGAGATAGAGGAGCAGGGTTTAGGTCAGCCTCCCCACCCATTTAGTTGACGTGGGGTTGAACGCAGCATGAAAGCCATCGAAGCACGCTTGGAACATGCCAGGCAGCCCTCTTGGCTCTGGGATGGGAAATGGTGACAGGATCCAGATGCTGATAGGTGGTGTTAATGGAGGGTCACGTTTGGACAATAGTATCCATCACTTGCCTCCTGGCTCTTCTGTCAGATGGAGTCATTTCTGACTATGCCATCACTCAGATTTGGGATAGATTCAATTATTACCTTCACCTTGGCAACAGGATATACAAATCTATGCCCAAAGGGCTAAGTAATAATAATTATTATTATTTACCGTCCTTCTCCTCGTATTCATTTTAAAAGAAGAGATCTCTAAAGTGCTCAATACATTCATTCCTATTTTATTCTAAAAAACATCTGCCCACTTACTCAACCTCACAGGATAATGGCTGCTTAATTGGCACAAAGAAACTTTTGTCTGGATGTCTGAATGATTATTGCTGATTTTTTGTAATCTTATCAGTTTTCCAAATTAAATAGTCTCTGCATGTTTTCTCAAGTTTTGGAAGAGTCTAACTTAGAAAGGGTCTGTGGGTTATCTTTAAGGGTGCATAGAAAATGTTTAGTCCCTTTTGAGAGGTGTTTGCAACTTGAGTGAAAATAGGAGTTGTATCAAAAAGGGGGGGGAAGAAGAAGAGGAGAAGAGTTCATTATATGATTTTTGTTCATAAAGTTAAGAATTAATTTAAATTAAATTAAGCATTATAAAATTTAAAATTCTGATAAGCTCTACCAGAAGGGAGTGGGACTCAAAGAGATATAGGGGTTATGTTAAATTTCCTTTGAATTCCATCTCTTCTTTCTTCTTCCACAGAGAAACTGACCTCCTTCTTAGAGTAGTTTGTTTTCTGTAACATATAACTCATCCTCTTGAGTGGTGCAAATAGTAGGGTAAAACACCCTGCTTCTTCCTGATATTTTCACAAAACCCCAGCTCTGCTTTCTCCTCTCTTCTTCCTAGCTTGCGTGCCCTGTAATTCTTGCAGTGTATTGCCAGATAAATTTGCAGGTAATGGGGTCTGAGAAAAGCAACCAGGGTTAAAAGTCAACTAGCTCCTCTTTAATAATTCACGTCTCATATTTCTTCCACTATGTCAAGTTTGCTAAAGAAGATGGACTGGGGGCTGACGGGCAGCCACTTGAGTTTATTATTTCAAGCCTCAGTAGGGAGGAAAACCATAGAAAGAGATGCCCCCATTTTTCTTACAAAGGTCTACAGCAGCCCAAACCTGAATCTCCTCTTCCTCACCTTGCTTTCCAGCCCTTCTCCAAGATGCCTAGAAGATTTACAAAAAGGGGGGATTTTTTTTTTCTATTTCATTTACCCCTCCTAACAAATTTGTCCCCTTTTCTCTTTACCGGTATCTTCATTCTTAAACACTACCAAATGGCAATTCTGTTCATGTTTTTTGCCACAATACAGAAGTTGCCAGGGCAACTTCACTTACAGACAATGGCTCTTATTTTAACTTTCTTATAGATGACCTTCCTCCTTTTTACAACTGTTTTCTGGCAGCATTGCTGGTGACAGCTTCACATGTCTTCAACTTAAATCTCTCTGTTCTCTATCTTTTTGGAAAGGAGTGAGGGAAAGTTTGAGATGTGTGGGTTTGTTTTATTGGTTTTTTTGGGGCTTTTTTTTTTTTTACTTTCAACAATTTGCTGTGTCCAGAAAGAGAGAGAGACAGAATACACAGACAGGGCAAGAATAGTGAAATTGAGGAAGTTTTAAACATCTTTGAGTTTGGTTCTGGACTATGAATTGATACATAACCATATCCCGGGGAGAGAATAAGAAAAGGAAAAATATTGAGTCTTACCTGTTAAGATTTTGCCCAAATGCAAAAGTGAGCATTTTGCTCAATCCAGTTTGCACTTCTCCATTGCTTATGTTACCCCAACACAGTTTTGAGGATCCCAATTTACATAGCCAAGCCAGGAGAGTGATTTCGTTTACAATTTCTCTCTTCCAGCTTTTTCAAGAGCAAAATATAAAGGAAAGTGGTTTTATCATGAGGGTTAAAACTTTTCTATGTGTTACTTATTTAATGAAAAGACTATAGTTTTGCTAACCTTTTTCCTGATTCATGGCAAAGGGATAGCCATTTGAAGAATAACTATTTTGCATTTATAAGTGAAGAGTTTTAAAAACAAAAATAACACAAATAAATCGATCTTTTGGGAAATAAAGTTTTATCTTCATGGTACAATTGTCACTAGTGTCACTAGTGGCAGAAAAATAAATATAGTATCTCCCCATCCCATTCATTTTGTGACTTCAATGTTAAAACAAGTGTCTCTTTTCTGGGGGCCTTTTCTACTCAGTTTCATGGCTCTTTAAATTTAATATGAAGTTTTGCAGGAATTGCTCTGCGCAGAATGGGCACTAAGAGCTTGTTTGTCAGACTCGGTTGTTCTAATGTGAACTTCTTCAACTTCTGGCACAAATTTGAACTGGAGGTCTGTTTATATGTCTGATATAAGTTGTTGGGGGAGGTGTAACTGAGAGCTCCAGAGGGAGAGGAAATAACTAAGGTTTATAAAAATCAGGCATACTTTGACAGGAGGAGAATAAATAGTTCTGAAAGAAATGTATAGTAAAAGATTGGGTCAGGGTTGGGAAAACAAAGT